GGTGAGGAATAAGCCTTTTGCTGGAGCATTCCAGATCTTAGGGATGTGGTGGTGTTGTGAAAGGCAGTGCTTTGGATAAAGGATTCCTTCTTTTCTGTGGTGCAGGGGAGTTTGGATCYGTGATGGAGGGACGGCTCAGCCAGCCTGATGGGTCCACACAGAAGGTGGCTGTGAAGACTATGAAGTGTAAGTTGTCTCCCTGTCCTTGCAGGACAGGGATGTTTGTCCCACTGGATATCAACATTCCCAGTACCTCTGTCAGGAAAACAGTCTTGGCCTCATTTTGTGGTGCCACACCTCCTGGTGCCATCAGGAACACTTGTATCCATCCCGGTGATCCCTTTCCCACTCAGGAGCTGTGCTGTGAGAGGAGGTGGCAACAGTGAAGCTCTTGGGKTTTTAAACCTCTTTCTTTTTCTCTGCTTTCCAGTGGATAACTTCTCCCAAAGGGAGATTGAAGAGTTCCTCAGCGAAGCAGCGTGCATGAAGGACTTTGACCATCCCAATGTCATCAAGCTCCTCGGTATGGGCTGTCACTTCCCACCCTCCAGCTGGGATTTGGGTGGAGCTGGATCCCTTTTCCCAGGGCATTGTGTGAGTTTCCATGTTTTCCAGGAGTGTGCATCGAGCTGAGCTCCCTGCAGGTGCCCAAGCCCATGGTGATCCTCCCATTCATGAAGTACGGAGACCTGCACAGCTTCCTGCTCCGCTCTCGGTTGGAGATGGCGCCCCAGGTAGGGAGCAGTGGGAGCAGAGGAGCCAGGTGGGATCAGGGTGAGAAAGAAATCCCCCTCTGCAGCTCCTGCAGGCTCATGGGTCAGTGAATGGCACAGGCTGAGGGGTGAGAGTGTGCTGCCGTGGGCTTATCCCTTGGGATAACAGGGTAGCCTCTCGGATCAACATTCTGTAACCCCCACTTTCCCTCCCCAGTTTGTGCCCCTGCAGACCCTGGTGAAGTTCATGGTGGACATCGCCCTGGGCATGGAATACCTGAGCAGTCGGAACTTCCTCCACAGGGATTTGGCAGCTCGGAACTGCATGTGAGTATTTTCCTCTGTTCCATCCTGTGGGATGAAAACCTCGTGGATTTAGGCACAACTCGGCTTCCTTCATTAAAACTTCCCTTGCTTTTGAGACACGGAGCTCAGTGTGGTGCTTGTGGCTCAGGATGTGGCTTCTGGGCTCTCCTGATCCGTGTTTCCCCGCAGGCTGCGGGATGACTTGACGGTGTGYGTGGCTGACTTTGGGCTCTCCAAGAAGATCTACAGCGGGGATTACTATCGGCAGGGCCGCATCGCCAAGATGCCCGTCAAGTGGATCGCCCTCGAGTCCCTGGCTGACCGTGTCTACACCACCAAGAGTGATGTGGTAGGTCCCTGTGCCTGCGGGGGCAGTCCCCTGGGCTGAGCCACGCTGTGCTCCTCTTGGTGTCATTCTCTGGAAGTGCAAGGAGGCTGCCGGAGCCTTTCTGCTGCCAGTGCAGTCAGTTCCTTGAGTGGGCCGCTCGCCCTGCTCATTCTCCATTTTSGGAGCACCACAGCTCTGCCCATTGTCCTTTGGATGCCAGGCGGTGACCTTTCCCCATGAAAAGGTTCATTCATTCCTCCTGGAAGTGTCCCTTCAGCCTTGGCCTTTTCCTTTGTGCTGGCAGTGGGCATTTGGCGTCACCATGTGGGAGATCGCCACGCGCGGGAAGACGCCGTACCCGGGGGTGCAGAATCACGAGATCTACGAGTACCTGTTCCATGGGCAGCGCCTAAAAAAGCCCGAGGATTGCCTGGATGAGCTGTAAGTACTGCTATCCAAGCTGGGAAAAYGGATTTTCCCAGGAACAAACCCTCTGAATGTTTGCAAGATGTGTGTAAGGAAAGCCAGATCCTGGAGCACAGCATGTGTCACCCAAGGAGGAAAAAGCATCTGCTGAACTCCAGACAAAAATCCCAACAAATATCCTAAGGGGAAGCACTGGGTTTGTAGGGCTGGCAAGGTCACCAGGAACAGTCWGTGATGGGACTTCTTAATATTTTATTTTCTTATTTTTGGATTAAGACCCTTTGGCCAAAAGGTCCTGGCTAGTGGTGCTCTTCTCTGTCCCACGAAGTTCCCTCTAGGGCCCTTCCTTGCCTCAAATCTATAAATCTGGAAAGGGAAAATGTGGAAACCTTAAACCTCTGATTTCTAAGCAGCTCACCAAAGGCCTTTCTCCCAAGCTTCYTTCCTGAGTTTTTCACCAGTGCCAYCARAGCTGAAAATRTTTAACCCCACCATGGCTGAGAGTTTTCAATCCAAACCGGATAAACAGAGTTATACAACATTTTGTAAAAGGCTCCTCTCCACTGCCTTTTCCCGAAGGAAACAGTGCAGGAACCTCTAAAAATCTGGCCTGCTCAAGGGCAGAGGGGCTGGYAGGGACATGCTGGAAGCTTCCAGGGCTCCCTGACATCCAGCCTGGGAGCAGGTACCTGCCAAGCAAAGGACTGGGCATCCCAGACACAGCTGGGATGTTCCCAGGGAACAGATCCCACGGCTGCACTGGAAGAGACTTCCAACACTTCTAACAATAGCTTGGGCTGATAAATTCCTGCCCTTGGGAAACAGCCTGAGCAGAGAAAGTTGCTTTTGCTTAGGTTTAATGGATATCTCACGGCTTGYCCAGCTTCAAGGGAAGCTGGGAATTAGCCCCCATAGCTCCCCTAATCCAGAGAAGTACAGGCTGCCTGGAGAAGCTGTGGCTGCCCCATCCCTGGAAGGGCAGCTTGTAGCAACATGGGATAGTGGAAGGTGTCCGTACCTATGGTAGGGAGTGGGACTGGATGAGTTTTAAGGTCTCTTCCAAAGCAAGCCATTCTGGGATTCTGGGACCCTCTGTGCTAACCATGCTCCTCTCCTGATTTCCAGGTATGAAATAATGTCTGCRTGCTGGAGAGCCGACCCTGCCACCCGCCCCACTTTCTCCCAGCTCAAGGTCCAGCTGGAGAAGCTGCTGGAAAGCCTGCCCCACTCCACAGCATCAGGAGACGTCATCTACATCAACACTGGCCTTCCTGGGCAGAGCCCGGACTCCACGCAGGATTCGGGCTTCCCGCAAGCAGACTCGGATTTGGATGCTGGGGAGGCATCGGAGCCCGGCTCCCCCAGCGCGGAGGCGGCGCTGGTGGCCGTGGATGTGCATCCCAGGGAGTCATGGGGCACCAGGTACGTCGTGGAGGAGCAGCTCGGTGGCCCCGTGGTGGAGCCCTATGTGCCACTGCTTCCCTACGAGGGCTCGGAGCCAGGGAGTCACTGGACCCAGGCTGGCACTTTGCCGGTGTCGGAGCGGCCAYGTGCTGAGAGCCGTGGGGAGGACTTGGAAGTGCCGCTGGGAGCGGTGTGAGTGGCACCAYGGCAAGGACACAGAGGAAATATTTTAATAAATAGTCGTCTCTTTTATTTATTATCTACTGCACACTTTTCCTGGTGGAGGCTGGCCCTTCCCAGGAGCTCTTTCCTGKGCTGAAGTCCCAGGGGTTTGGAATTAACACTGGAATTATTTTTCTGTAATTATTAATCTTTTCCAGAAGGAGGAKGGCAGGGTGGGGTGGCTGGTGCTGATGGAGTAGCTAGCCTTGCAGGGCCTGGTGTGTTCCCCCTTTTCCATCATGTGTTGAGGTTTTTGGGATGGGCAGTCCCATGGATGACCAGGGCTCCAGCTATACAGCCTGCTGAGGAATATCTCACTGCAAGAAATCCCCATGGAAAACAGCAACGGAAGCCCCAACAGGAACAGCGGGTACTTCCACCTTCCCTTCTGCCTGATGGATTTCCATCCATCCYATCCATGCACTGAGGAACCATCCATCCTGCTGCAACACCAGGGAAACAGGAGCCTGAGCTGGGTCCTGAGAAGGCTGAAGCCCCCAGCCATGGCCTGGCCCTTCCCTGCTGCCCCTTTTCCATTTGGGGAGAATTCTGCTGCTTCCATATCTGGGGCTGGTCTGCAACAACTACAGCCAGACCCAGCCCCTCTCCCTGGGGCAGACCAGGCTGGGGGGAAGGGGGTGGTGCAGGATCTGGGGAGGGAGTTCAGGATCTGGGAAATGGGGTGCAGGGCTGGTGAAGGGGGTTCTGGCTGGTACACGGGTGCAGGAGCTGGACAACGGGATACCGAGCTGGGGAGAGGGTGTAGGGCTGGGAAAGGCYTTCCCAGCCCCGCCAGAATTGGGGGGCTGTCAGGGGCTCCCGCACGGTGCCCGCTAGTCCCGGCAGCACCAGAAACAGCTTTGCTGAGGGGAAAAGCCACCCTCTCGCATCCCAGCCCTCGCGGGGCACGGGCGGTCGGTGTCCCGGGGGAAGGCGGCCGGTGTTTCGGGGGAGGGATGCCCGCAGCGCCCCGCCGGTGCCCCGGGGGAAGGATGCCCGCAGCGCCCCGCCGGTGCCCCGGGGGAAGGATGCCCGCAGCGCCCGGCCGGTGTCCCGGGGGATGCGCGGGGCCGGCCCGGCGCCGGGGCGGGGAAGCGCCGCGTCCCCTGCACGGGGCAGCGCGGGGGCGGCGCGGGCGGGGCGGGGAGAGCGCGGGGCACCCGGTCCGGAGAGCGGCGGGGCCGCACCGCACCATGGTGGGGCTGCGGGGGGCGCGGGGCTGCCTCCCGCCGCTTCTGCTGCTGCTGCCGCTGCTGCTGCCGCTCCCGGCCGCGCCGGACGCCCAGGTGAGCGGGGACCGGGACCCGGGAGGGGCTTTGGGTGGGGCACGGGGCTCCTCGCCGCTCCCCGCTCGCTCCCCGCTCGCTCCCCGCTGCCCGTGTGCCCGGACAGCCCCGCAGCGCTGCCCGCGCTCCCTACCCAGCAAACAGGTGGGCAAAGCCCCGAACCGCGCTTAAACCGCGCTTAAACCGCGCTCGATCCGCGCTTAAAGCGCGCGCGGCTTCTTTCGGGCTCTTTTCCCCCTTCCTACCCCACACCTGAAGCGGCCCTTGAGCACACCGGGAGAAAAAAAAAAAAACAACCCGTTTTTAGTTTTTTAAAGGGGATTTTTCAGCTTTCCGATAGCTCAGCATCCCGCTGAAGCTCGTGCTGGCTCCYGGAGTTAAACCCAGCCCTAACAAAGAGCTGTTTATTAAAGGCAGCGACGCGCCAGCATCTATTTGCTTTTGCCTCCCTTCCTCTGGGCTCGGGGTATCCCAGAGCTGCCAGCACAGCCGGGGTCATCCCCACATCCCCACTGGCAGCCCGGGACCCCCCAAAACTGCTCCCGGGGAAGCAGAGGACACCGAGCAGCGCTTTACTTGGGCTGCTGTGTTTGTCCTCCCTCAACCTTCAGCAGCTCTTTGGAAATGGGAATCATTCCACAGTGCAGTTATGGAAAGGGAGAAAGAAATCCCTTAGATCAGGTGGGGCAGAGCCCACCAGCTCAGCTCGCTTTCCCGGAATTCCATAGCTCCTACCAGTCCCTGTGTGCTCTCTCCTCTCTGAGCTCCTGGATTTCTGAGCTCTGGAGCCGGCTTTTCTCTTTTTCCTCGGTTTCAAGTCAATTCCACAGGAATCCCATAATAACGGTGCCCGTCTCCGGCATGAGTCAGTCCCGTGGGAGCGATCGGTTTGCAGGCAGGAGTCCCACCAGCGTTCCTGGCCCCGGCAGAGCTCACAAGACAGCTGTTTTCCTCTTCTTTTGTCATGTGGAAGTGGGACAGGGCTGGAGCTCCAGCAGGATGGAACATGAGTTATAGCATCTCTCCCACAAAGCGATCCCAGCCCTGCTTGGAGCGCAGGCCTAGGTGGAAAAAAACTCCTGGATCCGGGTAAATGTGGGGGAAAATACAAGATCAGGGCACTCAGGAGACATCAGATGCTGTGGAGGTCCCACACCAGCCTCCTCCCACGGGCAGCAGGTTGGCTCCCGGGYGGAGTAGCAGCACAAGGAGGTCCCCATCCGTGTCCCCATCCCTGTCCCCCTCACTGTTCCCGCAGAGCTGCCTCAGCAGGCAGCAGCTCCTGGCTGCCATCCGGCAGATGCAGCAGCTGCTGAAGGGGCAGGAGACACGCTTCTCCGAGGGGCTGCGTGCCATGAGGAGCCGGCTCAGCACCATCCACGCCTCCCTGGCCAAGGCTGCCCCGGAGCCACCCCCCAGTGAGTCCTTGGGACAATATTCCAGGGAAATAACAGGTAAAGGGTGGCTTGGAAGGATAAAACCCCCCCAACACATCCCCCTTCCGTGGTCTCGCAGCCTCCTGTCCTGCCCTCCAAGCCCCGGCAGATGGGAGGAAATTCGGCACCAAATACTTGGTGGATCATGAGGTTCACTTCACCTGTGAYCCAGGATTCCAGCTCCTGGGCTCCAGCACGCGGATGTGCCAGGCCAACGGCAGCTGGACAGGGCAGGAGCCCCGCTGTGCAGGTACTGTTCGTTGCCTGCCCTGCAGGTCCTTTGGAAAGGTGGATTTACTTAAACATGGAGGGATAATGGGGTGCTCCAAGCGGGGAGGGATCCCAGCTTGCTCCCAAAGTTCCAGGGATGCTGCAGCTCCCATGGCTTTGGGATTTTTCAGTCTTACAGAAAACTGGGAATTACAACTGGAGCAGTTCAGCAGAGAGGTGAGGGGAGAAGGTATCATGGGTACTACATCCCGTAGGGTACCAAAGCGTCCCGGTGCGTGCGGCGTTTCTGCGGCTTGCTTCCCTAAAGGAGTTAACATGGAATGTGGCTGCTTTTCCCGCAGAGATCAGCGAGTGCTCGAGCAGCCCCTGCCAGAACGGCGGGACGTGCCTGGTGGGGCTCAACCACTTCAAGTGCCTCTGCCCCGCGCAGTGGACGGGCACGGCCTGCCAGTACCAGGCTCAGACCGGTGGGTGACCCTCGCTGGGGGGGAACCAGGGTGATTTTATCCCCCCACCTCATTCCAACTCCCCATCCCGCCGTTTTCCCGCAGCTCCTCCCACTTGGAGCGTGACGGATGACCCGGCGTTCAGYCGGCAGCCCCGCTGTGCCCAGATCGCCCAGACTCAGCAGTGCAGCTGCGATCCCGGCTTCCACATGAGCGGCACGGCTTCCAATGGGATCTGCCAGGGTGAGCCGGGACACCGGTGGGATGCGGGGCTGGCTCGGTGCCCGTTCCACTCACAGTCATGGAGTCACATTGGAAGGGACCGCTCAGTGGCTCAGTCCCACCATCCTAGAGCATACAGCACGGGATTGTGTCCGGATGGCTCTGGAATATCTCCAGTGAGGGAGACTCCACAACCTCTCTGGGGGATCGGCCGCTCCTCCAAACCCCTTCAGGAGGCTCCAACCCCTTCATCCAAGTCATGGATGGATGAGTGAAAACTGAACCCMGTGTCGCCCTCTGCGGGACACCGCTGGTGACAGCCCACAACCAGCCCCTGTACCGCTGAYCCCATACCCTGGAATCTTCCATCAGCCCGTTCCCAACACACCGCACCGCCCGCTCATCCAGCCTGGGTTTTCCCAGRGGACTGGAGTGAGATCCCGGTGAATCCCTGTCTCCGCAGACCTCAATGAGTGCGAGGTGTACCAGCGGGAAGGGGGACCCCGGCTCTGCGCCCACGCCTGYGTYAACATTCCCGGCTCCTTCCGCTGCTCCTGCCCCACTGGATACATTCTCCTTGGYGATGGAAAGAGCTGCGAAGGTGAGGGGGCTTGAATCCACTTGTTCCCAAGTGCTTTGTCATTTGACCCCCCTTTTGTCTCAATTTCCAAGGGAGAGGCTGGTGCAGAGGTGAGGAGGATGATGGAACGATATTTTGTTGGATGGCAGCGGATGGAGGATGTTTGGATTGGCAGGAGCTCTGTCTGGATGTGGAGCTGGATGGGGAAATGAATCCCAGGATCGCACTAGGGGAGGGAAATCTCCACCAGAGTGCTTCAAAGAATCACTAAAAATAAAAATAAAATACTTTTCTGGAAGCATGGCTGCTCCTCTCTCTTCCTTCTCCTTCTCCTTCTCCTTCTCCTTCTCCTTCTCCTTCTCCTTCTCCTTCTCCTTCTCCTTCTCCTTCTCCTTCTCCTTCTCCTTCTCCTTCTCCTTCTCCTTCTCCTCTCCCTTTCCCTTTCCCTCTTCTCTCTCCCTTCCCTCTCCCATCTGTCTGGATGATAGAATGACACTTCGGGTCTGCGGTTCTTTGAAGACGACCCTGCTGTGGGGATGTTCCTGGAGCAGGGAATTCCTGGAAATAATGAAAAGAACTGTTTAACCCCCAGAATTCCAGGATCAGTTCAGAGGGTGGCAGCGTCTCCCCCAGACCCAGGGGAATTGRACTGCAGGTGGAAGCCAGTGGGTGGAGATGGTGGAAGGCTGTAACTGCTGAAAGTCTTCCRAAAAACAGGGAATTTTTTGTGCCCTGAAGTGTTGGTTGCTGTAGTTCAGGGTGAGAAAATCTCGCTTTCCCCTTTCCTCCCTGATTTTTATGTGTTCCACGGCATCTTRCTAATGCTCCCAGCAAATCCTTTGCATTCCAGCTCCTGCCAGGTGTCCCACGGGTGTTCAGTAAATAAAAAGGGATGGTGTTTCCAAACAACTAGGCAGAAAGTTTGGAAAAGCAGCTGCCTTCCTGCTGGGAGAGGGCTGCTGTTAACCCACGCTGGCCCAGGGAAGAGCTTGAAGAGAGGAGATGGGATTCTGGGATGCTCCCAGCCATATTCCCGTATTTTTTTGATTGTGTTTGATCCATTTCAAGGTGGTTTTGCCTGTTTTCTGATGGAGAGGTGACTCAGTTGGAAGTTTCTAGGCCCTGATCCACTGCCTGTCCCTGTTTTCCAGATATTGATGAGTGTTCCCTATCCCAGGATAACTGCACAAGCGGGAGCACCTGCATCAACACTGGGGGGGGATTCCAGTGTGTCACCCCTCAGTGTCCCCCGGCCGCCGGCAACATCTCCTACGTCAAAACCTCCCCCTTGTAAGTGTGGGCCACAAAATCCATGGCACAGCATCCCTATGGATCCAATGCCAGCAAGGTGGGGGACACGAATGCCGCATTCCCAAAAATCTTCTGTTGCTTTTCCTTTTGCCTTCGCAGCCAGTGCGAGCGCAATCCCTGCCCCATGGAGAGCCGCTCGTGCCATCAAGCTCCCAAAACCATCTCCTTCCACTACCTCCCGCTCCCCTCCAAGCTCCAGACTCCGGCGCCGCTGTTCCGCATGTCCACGGCAGCAGCTCCCGGCCGGCCGGGACCCGACAGCCTGCGCTTTGGAATTGCGGGCGGGAATAACCGCGGGCACTTCGTGGTGCAGCGCTCGGACCGGCACACCGGGGAGCTCATCCTGGTGCAGAGCCTCCAGGGGCCCCGGATCATCCACGTGGATGTGGACATGTCTGAGTACCTGGATCGGGTGTTCCAGGCCAAGCACATGTCCAAAATCACCATCTTTGTCTCGGCCTATGAGTTTTAGGGGTGGCTCCTGCTCTCTGCTCAGCAGCCCACGGCTCCCGGTGAAATTCCAGGCTGGAGCTGCTCTGCAGCCAGCCAGCCTCCCCACTGTCCTGAGGTTCTTCCCMGGTGGATTTACACCTGCCTTGGTGCACCCAAAGGAGGTGGAAAAGAAGCGGGAAGCCCTGTCCTCATCCTGGCTCTAGAGAGATGATGTCCTACAACAGCAGATGGAAACCAGAGCCCTTGGTTCCCACTGTTTCCTTTAGGAAGCAGTGAAGMCAAGTGTGCGGGAGGAGGAAGGCTCATGACCTTTCCTGCTCTCCTCCCTTCCCTGCACGGAGTCCTACTCCCTAAAAACACTCCTCCACTTCCCTCTGGATGCTGAGAATCCCCTGGCAGTCCATGGGGACTGGGCTCCAGTGCTTTAATTCCTTGGGATTGATCAGGGCTGGAAAACTCCATGAACATCCACCTGGATGCCCTCCTTGGCAAGCAGGGCAAAGGAGGAATCCCAGGGCTATCCCTTCTCCTTAAACGTCCCTAATGGAGATCCCCCATGGATMCTCCTCACAGCTTCAGCAGCATATGGAGGTGGGAATATTCCATGCTCCATCAGTCAGAGCCTCCATCCCAATGCAGGAACACTGGGAAGAGCTGGGATTCACCCTCCTGCTTTGTGCATGTTCTGCATGTTCCCTCATCCCGCTGGATTTAGTACAATTAAAGGATGATGTAAAGGATGGCACTGGAGTGAAGCACCTGATGGATGTGTGGATGGGGGAATGCTCAKGTGGAGCAGTCCAAGGGAAAATGGGGTCTGGGAGGGAAGAACTTGTTATCCATGGTTTTATTTTCCTGCTTTATGTTGTTGGGAGTGGGCTTATTCCCACAGGAGCATCCTCATCCCTGAGCATTCTCAGCCCAAAGCATCCTTCCCCACCAGGAATCCTCACCCTGGGAATCCTTATCCCTGAGCATGCTTTCCCTGGGAATCCTCACTCCCTCATGTCCTGCTGAGCTRCACCCACTAAAGCCATTCCCACTCCTTGCCCTGGGTAAAAAGACTTCCCAGAATGGATCTGTCTCCTTTGGGGGATCGAGCTTCTGGATTTTTGGGGGGTATGGGAACTGGGAAGGGGTTGGATCTCTCTGGCAGAACAAGGAGGGATATTCAGGGCTGCTGTCAGCGGATGGAGGATGTTTGGATTGGCGGGAGCTCTGRCTGGACGCGGAGCTGGGCTGGGAAATGTATCCCAGGGTTGTGCTGGGGGAGGGAAGGGAAAACTCCAGAGTGCTTCCAAAAAATCCCTAAAAATGAAAAGAAAATGCTTTTCTGGAAGCATGGGTGCTCCTCTCCCTCTATTCTCTCTCTCCCTCTCCTTGTCCCTGGCACTTCCCAGCCTGATTGGACATGCTCCTCCAACAGGCCATGACCCTATTTTGGGATGAAAACAAAATCAGGGAGCTGAAAAGCAGGAATCTGGGAGAGGACAAGCTCCTGACAGGGCAGAATAGTTTCCATCTGCTGCTTTCTCCGGATAACACAGCTGGAGACGGGCGCCTGGACCACGCTCCGGAGGCTTTTCCTTGTGGCACTATCCCAAACTGACAACATTTTCCTAATTCCCGAGTCCAGGGTGCGCTGGTTTCTCCCTTCCCACCCTGGAAAAGTTTAAGGTCGGCTGTTTGCCTTTCTCAACYTCTGGCTGCCTTTCCAGTTGACTAAAGAAGATTTTTTTCCCCTTCCTACAGCAGCCACTTCAGCATCTTTCTGACTTCCTGAGGCTGGAATTTGCAGAGAAAGGCTCTTCTGATCTTGAAATACAACTTTTTTTAAGGATAATAATATTTGGAGGCTGAAAAAATAGCGGAAATGCTTCTGCTCCCCTTTGGTGGGCATAGCTGGCCCCAGATGTGCTGTCCCAAAATCACTGTTTCTCACCCCTGAATATTTAAGCAAAATTTTAGGATTCTTCCTTTTAGTCCAGATTTGAAATCCCCGTTTTACTTGCCTATGGCCTGGGTAGATGACGCTGAGCCCTGTGAGGCACCAACTCCAGTGGTGGGGCTAATTAGTCCTAATTAGCTCTAACGATTCTCCCCAGCCACCACCAGCCTGCCCTTGGAGCTTATTTCAGTCCCGGAGCAGAGGGAATGCTGTTTTGCAGCCCTTTCCTTCGACTGATCTCATTTCCCTGATGATCTGGACCTTAGGTTCTGCTCGTCTTGCTCAGGTGCGTGAGGTCCAAGGGAGATGGTTCTTCCCTTAAGATCTGAGGCTCCTCCCACTGGGAATCCCATGGGAATACGTGTGAGTGTGCCACCTTTAAAAAACTTCATCCTTTCACTGGATTGCTGGCACTGGAAAAAGCCGAGTCCTGTGTTCTATAAAGCCTTGCGAGGCAAGGAGACAGCCTGGAAAAGGAAAGAAGTGCAACTTTTCTCGGGAATGTTTAATTAAACTTCATTGAGGTGACTGACAGACGCATCTTCTCCTTCGTCCGCTACATTTTCATTAAATGGCTGTCTTTGAACCACTTTATCCCGGCTTTTGTCACGCTCTGACCCGACCCGCCACTCCAGGGAACACTTTTGTCTCGCCCTGGGGACACAACTCTTGATTTAATTACCAGTGTTACTAATTAATGACGCGGGGCCAGTTCCCCTCACACACATCCSCCGCCAGGGGGCGCTACAATCACTGCGTGAGGGGGGGCGCGGCCATGACGCAGCGGCGGGAGGAAAGGCCCGTTCCCGTTCCCGGTGCCCGTCCTGGTTCTCGCCAGGCGGAAGCCGCCGCCCTTTCCCCCTTTCCCTCCCTTTTCCCCCCTTTTTCCTCCACCATTCCCGGGGGTACGCCGCCATCACGTGACGGGCGCGGGGCACGTGACGCCGCGCGCCGCGAGACCCCGCCCCCTTCGCGCGCGCACGGCGGCGGCGGCGGCCGAGGGGAAGCGGGGGTGGGCGGGGCCCGTGCGTGACGTCACGGCGGGATTGACGGGCGTGGCGAGAAACCAATAAGCGGGCGAGACACTGCGGCGGCGGCCAATGGCGACGCGAGGGGGGCGGGCCCAGGGCCGCGGCGGAGGAGGAGGAGGAGGAGGAGAAGGAGGAGCGCGGCGGGCGGCGGCGGCGTGAGGGGACGCAGCGCCATCGCGGCCCCATCGCGGCCCCGGCGGGCGCGGAAGACGCTGTGGCGGCGGCGGCGGCGTGTGCGGGCCGCGGGCGCTGAGCGAGCGTGTGCGGGCAAAGCGCCGGGGGCCGCTGCCGCCGCTGCTGCCGCCGCTGCTGCCGCCGTTCTCCTCCTCCTCCCTCAGCCGCCGCCGCCATTTTGTGCGAGTGCCTCGCGCGGGCGCCATGTTTGTAAGGAAGAATTAGGGCCGCCATCTCCGGCCAGCAGCACCTCCCTCCCCCCGTGTGTGTGTCCTCCCGCTCTCCTGTGCCCCGGGGCTGCCGCTCGAGCCGCCGCCGCCGCCACCGCCTCCCCGCAGCGCCCGCGCGGGGCGGCCGGGCCCGGGCGCTGAGTGCCCGTTAGTGTCTCACTAAGTAACCGTGAGTGCAAACCTTCATCATCTCTCCTCACTGAGGGGCCCGGCCCTCCTCCTCCTCCTCACCGAGCCGCCCCCAGCGCGGCCGTGCGCGCCGCCGCCGCCGCCGCCTCCTCCCGCCGCTCCGCACCGCGGGCAGCGGCGGGGCCCTGCCTTCCTCCACCTCCCTCCTCCTCCTCCTCACCGAGCCGCCCCCAGCGCGGCCGTGCGCGCCGCCGCCGCCGCCGCCTCCTCCCGCCGCTCCGCACCGCGGGCAGCGGCGGGGCCCTGCCTTCCTCCACCTCCCTCCTCCTCCTCCTCACCGAGCCGCCCCCAGCGCGGCCGTGCGCGCCGCCGCCGCCGCCGCCTCCTCCCGCCGCTCCGCACCGCGGGCAGCGGCGGGGCCCTGCCTTCCTCCACCTCCCTCCTCCTCCTCCTCACCACACCACAGCCAGGCACAATGGCCTTTGAAAGCCTGTTCTCCAAACCCCCAAACCCAGTTCTTGACCCAAACATGCCCGACTCTGACAGGCAACATGCAGGGGACGAAAGGTCGAGTAACATTCTTCTCTCTCTCCGCTTCTCATAATGGTGGTACTTAGTGGGGTGATGCTGGTAATGATGCTGATGATGCTGATGATGATGATGCTCTGTTAATGTGCCTGAGGGGGTTAACGATGTTTTTGGGGGGCAGGTCACCTTCAGGCTGGAGAGGGGTGGTGGTGGTGGTGAATGCAAGGAGGGGAGGGGGGGTGTCACTGCATTAAAAGTGCATTTTTTAGCAAGGTTTTAATTTTTCCTTTTGGAATGCATGCATTTTTACATCTTCATTGATTTATTCTGGCTGGGAAGGGGGACTGTTTGCCATTCTTTCCATAAATTGCACTTTCCAGGGGGTGTCTGTTGAATGTCACCATTGTTCTCTGTCTCAGGCAGGAAAGGGTGCTTCGAGTTGGGCGGGTTTTTTATTTTTGGCTGTTTTTGTTGATACCACAATCTCTCACTAGAGCCATATTTAACGTCATTTTCTTGCCAGATTCCACCTTACACATTTAACTGGATCTTTTTTATGCAGATTAAGGGCTGACTGACGTTATCTTTGCCACCTCTCAATCCCCATGCGCAGAAACCCAGAGTCCTGTTCTGGTGAAAGGACCTCTGTTCCTCCCTCCCTCCTTCCCTCCCTCCCTTTCTCTCCTGCAGCTGCTGGAAATTCAAATCCTTTCTCCAGGCAGCCCTGGCCTTCCTAACTAGTTCCAAAAATACTGTGCCAGGGTGGCAGTTACCAGTCCTTGAGCCTCCATCAACCCTGAGCATTYCTGACACAGCTGCAGGAGTTAAAAACGCTGGGGTTTTGGGATTCCCACAGCTTGGCCTCCCCCCACACAGCTTCACAACCCTTTGTGGTACTTCAGAGGACCCGAAAACACTGGGRAAAAAACAAACAGGCAAAAAAAGAAAAAGGCTTGTGGGTAAATGCAACTGTTTCTTTGCTGGAGGAGGAGTCACAAGTTCGTGTTATAAATTGGAACATGGTCGCAAAGTGCTCCTTGGATTTAGTGCAAGGGTCAGRACAGAGCCCAGAGCTGCTGGTACATGTTTTCTGCTTCCTGGTTGTCTGTGGGAAGTGATCCCTAAAATGGGCCTGGARTTTAGTGCAAGTTCAAGGCAGAGCCCAGAGCTCCTGGTTCTTGTTTTCCCCTTCCTGCTTGTCCTTGGGAAAGGGGGGAAGTTGTGTCATGCTCAGTTTTCCAACCAGAGWGCACACCAGGAATCCACTGGGATCTCTGGAGCTGTGCTGTGGAGTTCCTGGATTGAGACTCTGGCTTTTCACTGTTTCAGGGGTTGAAAATATCTGGGGTTTTCCAGTCTTTGAGTACAAGCCTGAGTGAGTCCGGGTTGCGCTGGGAGCTGAGTTTTTCCAGCTTGTATTTCTCATCCTCTCACCAGTTGTTCCCACCAGTACAACCAGTTGTGACACTGGTAATTGTGAAATAGACCCACTAAGTGCCACGTAATAATCAAATGAATTGTAATTTACAAGTGTTGCTTTATAATGTTTTAATTTATGAGGTGAAGAGCAACAATAAACATGACCTGGGAGATCATAATTTGTAGTTTTTATAAAAGTTTTGCTGTGTAAAATAAGTTAATTCACTTCAAAAAAGGCCCAGCTCCAGATTTTTGTGTTACATCAGGTGTACATATTTAGGGCCAG